CGAACGCGACATGGAGATCGCACGCATGAGAGCCCATCTCGAGTCGATATCCGAAAGCAATCGAATCATCAGACAGGAACTCGCTATGACAAGAGCCGAGACGGAGCGACTGACTACCACGTTGTCCGGATTGGATGAGCAAATAGAGGAGTTGATATGGGAAGGTTCGTTATCGATGTTCGGGAGAGGTTGAACAGTTATTATTGTTTTTTTTTATAAATAAAGATTTAAAAAAAAAACAATAAAAAATGTTAATCGTCTCTTTTAATGACTATTAATATTATGTCGAGAGAGTAGATGATGGCTGGAAAGAGAATCCTGGCCTTTTGCAAATATTTTTTGCCCGACCGCAAGGAAAGCGATTGCGAATACTTCGTTCTGCCACCACTCATTCCTTGCACGATATGTTTCAACGCTCCTGCCAGCGTCCTAGCCCAGCCGTGCAGTCACCTGATTGCGTGCGAGATGTGCGCATGTCGTATCACGACGTGTTGCGTGTGCCTACGTTCGACTAGGAAGCGGTGTTCGACAGTTACGAAAATATAAGAAAGCACACTTGAGAAACCACATATTCTATTCTAACATTTTATTAGTTTTAAACATAATAATCAAGATCGAAAGAAACAAGTCCAAGCCAACCAGAGGATGAACGTCATGGCGAGGTCGTCGCGCACTCCGACAGATTTTTCTGTGACCGTTATCTTTCCGTCGGACAGCACGAGTCGTCTGAAGTTTCGTAGCTGATCGTGCAAAGTCTCCATCGAGGCGACGTCGATGTCTTCGGAGAACGCGACCCGATCGTTTTCCAGCAGCATTTGAGAGAGGTGCACTAGATTGCCCTTGTCCCTAGTCCACAGTCCGACGCACCTGGCGCCGTCCTGTCTCGTCTCCTTCTCGAACGAGACGTCGACGGACGTGCCGGCGAACCGATCCGTCACCTGCTTTGCCATCATCGCAGCGTGGGCGTGCGAAGTGTTCCGTTCGACGTACACGCGAACGGGCCAGCTGATCAGCGTTCAGTACGTGGACAGGACTTCGTTCACGGTGTCGACGACGAGGTCTGCGTGCACGTCCAACAAGGAATCCATACGGTCGACTGTGGCGACCACGTGCTTCAGAGCTGGAATCTGTGAAGGAGACAAGAAAACGGTGTTAATAAAAACGGAGCAACTTCTCCGGTTTCTAACTAATTCCCGTTAAAACATGTTGAGGAGAGCTTTCCATCGTGTGGAGTGCGACCTGGATTTCTTGCGAGAACGCAAAGACCTCTTCGTCCGATGGAAGAGGGAGACCGACGCCAAGGCGATAACGGCCGAGATAAACGCATCGGGTTTGTCGCACGGCGAGCTCGTTACGAGAACCTGCGGCAGAAACAACTTTATGGACGCGAACGCAACCGTGGAGGACATGACGGAATTCAGAGCGAGCAGATCTGTTCTGATTCACGCCCTGACCGCCGTCGGGGCCGCCACCTCGCCGAGACTCGAGGAGATCGCCAACCTGGAAAAGACGGTGCTCATGTCGTTCGAGCTTGCCAACCTCGTGTACGTGCCCGGCGTGGAAACCGAGTACAGGAATTCGGAACCGGAGGAAAGACACTGAATAATAGATAGCGCGAAGAACCTCGCGAACCAGCTGCTTACCAACAGCTACGATCAGCCGCTGTGGAACTCGATCGGAGGTTCGCCGATGGCCGTGGCCGTGTCCGTCCTTCAGACGCGGGTGACGAACGCGGACGCCGGCGAACGGGGCACCGCGATCAGCCGAGGTCCGCGAAACCACGCGACGTACGCGCTGAGAAGGATAACGGAGAAGAGAAGCAGGGCTTGCAAGATACCGCCCGTGAGACTCACCTGTCTGAGATTACCGTCGGACGTCATCGCCCCCGCGGCCAGACCTATGCCGGACACGTCCGACGGCGTGGGATCCACGGCGATCAGCAAACCGGATGCGAATCCAGATCTCCTTCCGGACCTCCGTTCTTCGTGGAACAGCCGGGAGAGCAACCTTCCGGAGAAAAGACGTTCGGCGAGCGACGAAGGCGAGCAGACGGGAATGCCCATGCATTCCAGCTCGTAGCTTCCGCTCGCTATCAGATTCATCATCTGCTGCACCACGTTCCCCTCGCTACCGTCTATGTGTTCCGGCACCAGGTGTCTCCGGTGGGGACACACCTTGCGGACGCCTCTCTCGAAGCAGGCGTCGCACAGGTACGATTGCGTGATGTACTTTATGAGAGGTCGTCCCTCGTGTTTGATCGTCACCAGTTCCTGGGACCAGTGCTCGCTGGAGGTCATCTACGACGTGAGCGGAACCGACACGTTCTTCGGTTGAAACACGGGCAAGGTGGATATCATCGCCGCTTGCTTCATCCAAGGGTATTCGTCCATCCATCCGAGGTCGCAGCCGGTTCCTCTGGAAGCCTGAAACATATAAAAAAAAAAAGGCATTTAGAGGAAAAAATATATGAAGATGGCTACGGCAGCGCTCAACGCGTACGTGACAGCGAAACGGTACAACATCTACCACGTCGACGAACTTCACGAATGCGTGAACGATTACGAACCGGAGGTTGTGGGACGCGACCTGCCGCTGTTCGTGGGACAGAGACGAGACGCTTCCAGGATGCGGAGTAGGGACGGCGCCATGGCACGTTTCGCGGACGCGGTTGACAGGGTGTTGAGAAATCTCACGAACCGAGAGAAGCGACGTGAGTACAACCGCGCGTTCTTCGTGAAGACATCGTCGTGAGAAAGTTGGAGAGGGAGACCAAGTTGATGCAAGCTCTGAGGGAATCGTTTCTGGTGCACGTCTCTTCCGAAAGGTTACCGGACGAGGGTGCTGCGATCGACGAATCGTTTCTGGATGACGTCAAGCAGTTCGTGTGCGACCTGATGACGCTTCTGCTCCTGTCTCTTATACACATCTAGATGTGTATAAGAGACAGCAGTCCGACGCACCTGGCGCCGTCCTGTCTCGTCTCCTTTTCGAACGAGACGTCGACGGACGTGCCGGCGAACCGATCCGTCACCTGCTTTGCCATCATCGCAGCGTGGGCGTGCGAAGTGTTCCGTTCGACGTACACGCGAACGGGCCAGCTGATCAGCGTTAACTGCCCCCTTTCGGGACCCCAACGGGAGACGACCCACCGAGACAGGACTGCTGTCATTACGAAGCGAACGTCTCGGCAATCTTGCTGAACGTCCTCTGCAAGTTCCCTTCCACACGTATGATGGGTTCGTCGATAGCGTTGGACACGCCGACTAAAAGCGTGGAAGCGGCCGAGAGATGTCGGTACGATCTTTCGGAAGCTAGCTACCGAAACCTGCTTCATTTAGAAGAGAGGGTTTCAAGCCGGTCGCGTGCAGACGAGAGATGCAGACGAGCGTCCGTCGACGTCCGACGATCGAGGAGATTCCGGCGCCGCCGACGAGCTCTTCGACGCTTTGGAACGGTACGACGACGGAGAAGAAGAGAATGCCTTCGTCACGCCACCGACGACTTCGTCTGAGTTGGAAGTCGCGACGTTACCCGCGGATCGTGCACCGCAGCAACGGGAGCAACAGTATGCGGAATCCGTGTTGGATTCCGAAGCCCTCGGCGACCTTCCCGTGATCACTGAACCTGAGGAAATGACGGGAACTGGAAGGAGAGTGGGCGACCGCGAAGGCCCTCCATCCAATCTCCCGTACGACTTCAATTCGCAGGACTATCGCGACATGGAAGAAATAATCGAAAGAAAAGCTGCCAACGAGGACGACGACGCCGGCGATGACGACGGGGCAGCGACGCCGACGGGAGATCTTCCACCTTACGCGGACGAGGAAAGTTCGCTATTGACGCCAAACGTGAGGTGGGTGGACGCGAACTGGAAGCAGTACACTTCTGGATTTCTTCGGGAAAACTACGAGTTCCAGACGAACCGGAGACGTACTCGAGACCCACGTCGTCTTCGACGCCGGCGACTCCCAAGTCCGTCTCGCTGGAAGATCTCGATGCTCACCGTCGAGAATCGGCGAAGGAGAACGAACGTACGTTGGAACTGGGCAACCAGAAGCTGAACGAGGTGCAGGACAATCTTGCGGAAAAGGAACGAAAACTCACCGAAGCCAGAGTCGTCATACAGAAATTAAAAGACGAAATACACGAGGGGAAGATGTCCGCGTTGAGAGAATCGTCCGACGTTCGCAGCATCGCGGAGGAAGAGGTCGAACGTCTCAAGACCGAACTCGCTTCAAAGACGGATGCCCTGAAGGAAAGGGACCTGGACGTGGTTCGCTTGGAATCGGATCTGAAAGCCGCGAGGAGAAAGTCGAAGCAGCCGCCACCTGAACAGAGCGGACTCGAGCTGCAGCAAAAGCTGCAGGAAGCCGTCCGCAAACTGAAAGACCGAGAGAGATCGCACGCCGACTTGGAAGAGGAGTTGGAAGAGAAAGACGACAAAATCAGCACACTGAAGAAAGAGTCGACGCTCGCCAAAACCGCGATGTCCATGTACGAAAAGCGGGTGGACGTCTTGGAAGAAAACCTGAAAACGGCTTGCAAGCGATACGACGAGGAAGTGAAAAGCAGACGGATTGTGGAGGCGGCCGCGAAAAAGGCAGACGAGCACGCGCAATCCATGGCCGACAAGAACGTCGAATTGCAGCGAGAACTGTTAAGACGGCAACCCGAAGAGTCGTTGTACGAAATGGAAGTAAGCATCGGAGAGAAGGAGGAGTTGCGGCGAGCGCAATCCGATCTGAAGGAGGAACGGAAGACGGTTATGCGATTGAAGAGTGCGATCGAGGACCTGAAAAAGGACCAAACACGTCATTCGGAGGTTCTTCGAGAGAACAGGAACCTGAAGGAGGAGGTGGAAACGAACGCCAGGAGGATCGAAAGTATCGACGACGAACGGCGACAGAGACAGACTGATTTCGGACCTGAAGAAGGAAATCGCCGCTCTCAGGAACGAACTTGGTGCCGAAAAGGACAAGGTGGCAACAGCCGTGAAGAAACGCAGCGACGACGACGCCCGAAGTTCGGTGACGCTCGAGAAAATAAAAGACGAATTGCGACTGGCGAACCGGGAAGCGGCGGCTGCAAAGGACCTCCAACGACGGTCGGCGACGAAGCTGGAAGAGACCGAGAAGCAGGTGGAGAGTCTGAAGGAACGGTTGAATGAAAAAGGTCGCTCGACTGCCAACGCGAACAAGAAGATCGCCTCCCTCAGAGACGAACTTCGTGCCGAAAAGGAAAAGGTGGCAACGGCTTCCAAGGAACGCAGCGACGGCGACGCCCGACGTTCGGCAATTATCGAAAAGATCAAAGAGGATCTGCGACTGGCGACTCGCGAATTGGAGACTGCCAAAGACAGGGAACGACGGTCGGCGAAGAAGTTGGAAGAGAGCGAGAGGGAGGTCGAGAGTCTGAAGGAGTGGTTGGACGTAACAGAGAAGAATCACGAAGCGAACCTTCGCGAGTTTCGTTCTTCCGTCGGGTCCGACAAGGCGAAGGCGATCTCAGATCTTGAAACGGCCAAGGCCGATCACTCCGACAGGACCGATATTCTCCGGTCGGAGATTGCCGATCTTAAAGAAAAGCTGGCCGAGGCCACCCGAAAGGAGTCTTCGCTGATCAAGGATGTCGAAAAATTAACCGCCCTGAAGGATGAGAACGAGAAGGAGAGTAGGAGGATGGAAAAGCAGCTTTCCGATAAAGATCGCACGGCTATCGACTTGCGGAACGAGATCGACACCCTGGAAGAGAAAATGAAACGGAACGGAAGTGAGATTGACGATCAAATCACGGCCTACAAAGAAGAGATTGAAAGAAACGTGAAGAGGATGAAAGAGTTAGACGCTACGATCGCGAAGAAGATTCGAGAGGCGGCCGGTCTCGAAGACGAGATCGCCGTCCTCAAAGAAGGGAAGGAACGTGACGGACGGAAGATAAAAGGATTGGGGGTGCAGCTCGCTAACAAAGGACGCGAGGCGACCGCTCTCAAAGACGAGATAGCCGCATTGCAAACGGACCTCTCGAGAGCGCGCGAAGAATGCGCGGACGACCGGAGTGCCGAACTTTCCGTCCTTCTAGAAAAGGCTAAAGATGAACTGCAACGGACGTCCCGCGATCTGGCGGCCGCCAAGGAAGCCGAAATCAGGCTGAAGTCGAACCATGAAAAAATCGAGAATGAAATTCCTCAGTGGAAGCAATGGGTCGAAGAATTGAAGAAGGCTCGAGACGAATCTCACGATTCCCACGCCAAGGAACTCGGATCGCTTCGAGACGATCTCGAGAGGGAGAAATCGGACGATGAAACGAAACTTGCAACGGCGAAGGCGAGCCACTCGGACGAGATTGAAAATCTTCGAAC